GGAGCTGGCTCACAGTCTGCCTGTTCACAGGTACCTGGACCATCTGAGCAAAAGGGTCATGAATGTGAATTATTCTTCAATGAAAAAAAAAAAAAAAAACAAAACAACAAATCAAGGAATGTCTTCAAAGCAATCTGATGATGTGTGTTTCTCCATAGATCTCTCTCAGGGCGAATTGTTGGAGGAGTCTGGTGGTTCTTCACTCTCATCATTATCTCTTCCTACACTGCTAATCTTGCTGCCTTCCTTACGGTGGAAAGGATGTTTTCTCCCATAGAGAGTGCAGAGGACCTGGCTAAACAAACCGAAATAGCCTATGGCACTTTGGATTCAGGCTCAACCAAAGAATTCTTTAGAGTAAGTCTGTTAAATCTCCATTAGAGCTTTTCTAAACTCTAAGTGCTTAATGTACGGTTTTCAGTCATTTGTTTCTACCCCACTGTAATAGCTGTGCTGGTGAAAGCTGCTTTGTGCAATCAGGCCAGGCCTGAGTGCAGATTTTAATATCCAAAGGCATTTTATAAAAAATGGGTAGTTTTGCTCAACCTGAAACATCTCAAGATGGAAAACCTGACCTCTGCTATCACAGGAAGGGTTTTTTAACACCATGTTCAGAACCTCGGTCTGATGAGCAATAATGCAGTCGTTAGCACAATATTTAGCAGAGAAAACTCTTGGAGGAGTGATGCTCTTGACCTACTTGCTCTGTTTGCCCAGCTGGCAGCCGTTAATGCCATCCGACATGGGTGTGCACTTGCCAGAATGAGAACGGGGCTGGGAGGCGTGCGTTGCCGGTCGTTTCTATATGGTGCATTGATTGCTGTGATTGTCGTAGCTGTGTTTTCATTGCTCGCCAGCGTCTGGCTGTGGCTGTATCAGGCAGTCAGGGGTGAAACATTTGTACCCCAGAACACTGGTCTGTGTTCACCTTGCTTAGGGACGTGCTGGGTTTGCAATACGTGGGGGTAGGGGGGAGTATACACTTTTATTTAAGATCGTCCGTCCTTTCTCCACTTGCCAAGCCACAAGCTGCACTGCAGAGGGTTTGGG